TTTTCTTTACCTGCCACGTAGTTGGTGCAGCGCCAAGAAAAGTGGACGAGAGGAAGGACAGAAGGAAGGGACAAGGGGAGAGATAAAAAGGAGCACGAGAGAGATTCGCAGTTGGGGGGCAGGAGCAGATAGCAAACGGCATAACCAGACGAGCGTGTCGGGCGGGTGGACCCTAACGGGCGGGTCGGGCGGGTGGGCCCGGGCGGCTGGGTCGAGCGTGCGGGTCGCTGAAGCATCATTCCTGCATGAATTGCGAGGACGTCTCGAGCGAGAGCGATTCCTAAGCAAATCGCGAGGAATTCAAGGCTGAGAGCGTGATGTCTGAGTGGCGTGGTCGCGGCGTGTGAATAAATTGTGATGGAGTCCCACGCGAGAGCGCGATTCCTGCACACCTTGCCGGGAATTCCCGCGCGAGAGTGCGATTCTGAATCCATGATGGGGAAGCGTCAGGCGGGGACCGTTGTTGTTGTAGTTCGGGGGCCAGCAACCCAGTCAGGCGCAAGAGTTTCCCTGGCATGCGAGCCCCAAGAGGGGCATGCCAATTTAATTGGCCTGGCTTTCTGCGTTTGTGAGTCACGCAGTTGTGAATACTGTCTTCGGCGGAGCTTCTTATGGGGCCAGGAAGCGTGTGAGGAATGTGCTGACACATGCGCGGTGAGCGCATGCGAATGCAGCCACCGAGCACTTCCCTGGAGTTCCCTATGTGGCCACGAAACGTGTGCTGTGTGTGTGTGTGTGCTGAAATCGGGGGGGTGGACGCATGCGAACACCGCCACTGGGGCCTTCGCTGGAGCTCCCTATGGGGCCACGAATAGTGTGAGGGGTGTACCGAATTGGGCGGGGCGGGCGCATGCGAACACCCGCCGTTGGAGCCTTCGGTGGCGATTTCTGCTGGGCAGCGAAGCGTGTGAGTGGTGAACCGAATATGGTTGGGGCGGACGCACACGAACGCAGCCATTGGGGCCTTCGGTGGCGCTTCCTATGGGGCTACGAAACGTGTGCGGGGTGTGCGGAACTAGGTGCGGCCGACATCGGCGCGGCGGGCGCATGCGAACGCAGCCAGTGGGGCCTTCGGTGGAGCTCCCAATGGGGCCACGATGCGTGTGAGGGGTGTGCCGGAATGGGTGCGGCGGGCGCATGCGAATGCAACCGCTGGGGCCTTCGGTGGCGCTCCCTATGGGGCAAGGACACGTGTGAGGGGTGTGCTGAAATTGTGTGTGCGCCGGGACCATGCGAACGTAGCCACTGGGGCCTTCGGTGGAGCCCCCTATGGGGCCACGAAGCGCGTGAAGGGTGTGCCGACATGGGTGCGGGGGTCGCGTGCGAACGTAGCCACTTGGGCCTGCGGTGCCGAAATGAGAAGGGCGTGCCGAAATGGGCGCGGCGGGCGAATGCGAACGCAGCTACTGGGGCCTTCGTTGGAGCTCCCAAGGGGGCCACAACGCGTGTGAGGGGTGTGCCGAAGTGCGTGCGGCGGGCGCATGCGAACGCAACCGCTGAGGCCTTGGGTGGAGCTCCCTATGGGGCCACGGGGTGTGCCGAAATGGGTGGGGCGGGCGCATGCGAACAACGCCGCTGGGGCCTTTGGTGGAGCTCCCAAAGGGGCCACGATGCGTGTGAAGGGGGTGCTGCAATGGGTGCGGCTGGCGCATGCGAACGCAACCGCTGAGGCCTTCGGTGGAGCTCTCGAAGGGGCCACCCAGCGTGTGAGGGGCGTGCCGAAATTAGTGCGGCCGGCGCATGCGAACGCAACCACTGGGGCCTTCGGTGGAGCTTTCTACGGGACCACGAAACGTGTGAGGGGTATGCCGATGTGGGTGTGGGGTATGTCGGAGCTTTCTACGAAACGTGTGAGGGGTATGCCGATGTGGGTGCGGCGGGCGCGTGCGGATGTGGCCATCGGGGCTTTCGGTGCTGCCCCCACGTGGGGGCACGGAGCGCGCCGCCGCCGGGGCCTTCCTCGGCGCTCCCATGTGGGGCCGCGCAGGCCGAGAGGGTTGACTGGTGCGGAAGGCAGAGGCACGGATTGGAGGGAAGGAGCGGCGGGAGGAGCAGGCGGGCAGGAGGGGCGTGGGGCGGTGTCTCTTCAGAACGAGGCCCCAAGACCACAGGATGGTTGGGAGTTGTCCCGGCGAAAGGCCCAACCTTTCTGCAGTCGTGAGCACCGTCGCTTGTGAGAATCTCCTGCGGTGGATCTCCTCATGGGGCCACGAAGCGCGTGGATTTTGTACCGAGATGGGGCGGGGCCGCCATGCGGTTGAGGGGTGTGCCGAAATGGGGCGGCGGTGCCATGCGAATCCTCTCACGGGGGACTTAGGTGAAGGTCCCTATGGGGCCACGAAACGTGTGAGGGGTGTGCCGAAATGGAGCGGTGGTGCCGTGTGAACCCTCCAACTGGGGCCTCAGGTGGAGCTCCCTAAAGGGCCACCGAACACGTGAGGGGCGTGCCGAAATGGGGCGGCGGTGCCATGCGACCCCGCCCAGTTGGGCCTCAGGCGAAGCTCCCTATATGGGGCCACGAAGCACGTGGGGGGTGCGCCGAACTGAGGCGGCGGTGCCAGGTGAACCCTCCCACTGGGGCCTTGGGTGGGGCTCCCAATGGGTCCACGAAGCGCGTGATCGTTGTGCCGAACTGGGTGCGTCGGTGCCATGCGAACTTTCCCACTGGGACCTCAGGCGGAGCGGGGCCAGGAAGCGCGTGGAGGGTGTGCCGAAACGGGGCGGCGGTGCCATGCGAACCCTCCCACGGCGGCGGGAGGTGGAGGCTCCCCACGGGGCCACGAAGCGTGTGGGGGGTTTTCCGAAAGTGGGCGGCGGTGCCATGCGATGTTTTCCACCTGGGGCCTCGGGTGGAGCTCCCTGTTGGGCCACGACGCGTGTGATGGGTGCGCCGAAACGGGGCGGCGGTGCCATGCGAGCTTTCCCACTGGGGCCTTAGGTGGAGCCCCCCAAGGGGCCACGGAACGTGTGAGGGGTGCGCCGAAACGGGGCGGCGGTGCCATGCGGGATTTCCAACTGTGGCCTTCGGTAGAGCTCCCCGTGGGGCCACGACGCGTGCGAGGGGTGTGCCGAAATGGGTCGGCGGTGCAATGTGAACTTCCCCACTGAGCCCTCAGGTGGGGCTCCCTGTGGGGGAACGCGTGAGGTGTGTGCCGACATGGGCATGCGTAAGGCAGAGGCAGGGCAGGGACGGGAGGAGGGAGGAGAGGGAGGAGGAGGAGGAGGAGGAGAGGAGAGGACGCGGGGCGCTGTTTCTTCAAAGCGAGGACCCAACACCACAGGATGGTTAGGAAATGGGCACCGGAGGGTAGATGAACACTAATCATTCCGTAGAGGAAGTCTAACAACAACGCAACAACGCAACAAGACAGCAACAAGACAGCAATGCAACAACAATCCGCAACGCGGAACCCCACTCCAGTCATGCACCCAGGGACGATGAAGGGCCGTTCGGCCCCTTCACTCTGATTATCGGAAGTTGATACAAACCTCCTCCTGCCAAGTCTACCAGTGAATTGCCTGTGTTGAGTTCTCCGGACGGTGTTGCGGCCGCAATGTTTGCGGGTCTGCTCCCGCTGGGTCTGGCCTCGAGCCGCTTTCGTCAAAGGACGTTTTGCTAACAGCAGTTCTGGCCACCCCCGATATGAAACATCAGGGAATCATAATTGGGCATTCCACGCTCTACGCGTGGGTAGTTTTCCCAACCATCCTGTGGTGCTGGGTCCTCGTTTTGACTAGGCAGCGCCCCGCGTCTCCTCCTCCCTCCTTCCCTATCCCCTTCCTCCCCCTCCCATCCATACCTCGGCCCTCCACATGTCCATTTCGGCGCTCCCCTCACACGTTTGGTGGCCCCATAGGGAGCCCCAGCCAAGGCTCAGAGCCAGGGTCCGCATGGCGTCGGTGCCTCATGTCGGCACGCCATTCACAGCTTTCGTGGCTCCATGGGGAGCTCCAGCTAAGGCCCAAGTGCAAGGGTCCGCATGGGCGTCGGTGCCTCATGTCGGCACGCCCTTCGAACATTTCGTGGCTCCATGGGGAGCTCCAGCTAAGGCCCAAGTGCAAGGGTCCGCATGGCGTCGGTGTCTCATGTCGGCACGCCCGTCGAGCATTTCGTGGCTCCATGGGGAGCTCCAGCTAAGGCCCAAATGTCATGGTCCGCATGGGCGTCGGTGCCTCATGTCGGCATGCCACTCACACCTGTCGTGGCCCCATAGGGAGCCCCAGCTGAGGCCCAAACGCCAGGGTCCGCCTTGCGTCGGCGTTTCATTTCGGCGTGCCCATCACACGTGGGAGCTCCAGCGAAGGCCCCAATGCTAGGGTCCGCATGGCGGCGCAGCCTCATCGCGGCACGCCCCTCACACGTTTCGTGGACCCATGAGGAGATCCACCCAACGTGGTATTCACAACGACGGTACCCACGATTGCATGTGATTGGGTTCTTCGCCAGGATAGTTTGCCTGCCAGCACCATCGCGACGGGCACCCCCACAATTCTTCACGCTTCCCATGTCCCTACCAGTCCATCCAGAAACGATTCTCAGGCGAGTTGCCCTGATCAGGGAAGTTCAGAAGCAAGCAGTGGAGCAGAGAGAGAGAGAGAGAGACAGAGAGAGTGGAACCGTCAAGCCGAAGCTTGAGAGTATACAGAGGAGTGAACCAGGCATGCCTTGCTGGCTGTCGAATGAGGAGGAGGAGGAGGGGGAGAAACCGATGGAGGAGGAGGATCAGGAGGATCAGGAGGATGAGGAGAAGGAGGAGAAGAATGAGGAGGAGGAGGATGAGGAGGAGGAGGAGGAGGAGGAGGAGGAGGAGGAGGATGAGGAGGAGGAGGAGGAGGAGGACGAGGAGGAGGAGGAGGAAGAGTAGGATGAGGAGGAGGAAGAGGGGGTAAGGGGGGGGGTAGGCGGGGACAGGGTGGGTGGGAAGGGAAGGCCGATGAGGTGGGTGGGGTTGAGGCGTGCGGGGGGGAGAGCCGCCACAGTTGGGGGAACTTCCCCCGAGGAAAAGGACTTGGCAACCAAGTACGGCGTGAAGGGCTTCCCTTTCTTGATCTGGTTCGAAGATAGCAAGGATCCGAGGAATATATCCAAGTGTCACATACTGCCGCGACAACGTGTGTATTCGTGGTTACTCGTGTAATACATTCACCCTCGTACGTGTGTCACACAAACACGATTTCCATTGCAAGGTGCATGTGCGTTTCCTCTACCGCAGTAGCGCGCAATAAAATGCGACGCGCTTGAGAGCAAGGTTCATGTGCTGGTTGTCGTGTACGTTGCGCGTCGACGTGCGAGTCCATTCACGTGTGCTCTTCGCAAACACTGCTTGACCATATGGGGTCTCAGTTATAATGTAAGGCATGGGGTGTGCCGTGCCGCATGTGTTTCTTGGCCATCTGTTGCGGCCAAGGGTTGCGACATGGGCGCCGTTTTTTCTCGTGGTAGTAGGCTGAGGCAAAGGCCTGCGCCATGAGTGCCTCATTTTTTCGTGGCTGAGGGTTGCGGCACTGAGTTTCGCCATCGGCGCTGCTGATTTTGTAGTGGGCATGGGTTGAGTCCGTGGATTGTGCTGTTGGTTGCGACTATGGGTTGCGCTATGGGGGCCGCTTCTCTCCTCATATCTTGAGTGATCAGGTTCTTGTTATTCGTGGGGCGCCTTCGCCGCACCCGCACTCCCGCACTTTCCATTTCATACTTAGACGTACTCCTCTCTAGGCATGCGTACCCAGATTGACACACACACACAGAGCTGGTCATGTACGTAATCACACACTCAGGCTCGCTCATAATCAGACTGTCTCACACTCAGACCCACTTGTAGTCATTCCATTCATATATACGCACACTGATTCACCCACAGCCGCACTCATGCTCGGGCTCACTTGCAGTCGGATCCTCCAACAGCCAGACTCATTCCTGGGCGCTCATCGTACTCAGACGGTCTTACATTTGGATTCGCCCACTGCCAGGCGCCCATAATCAACCTCACCTGTACTAGCATTACCCAGGGCCCCATGATCAGTTTGCAAGGCCGGCGTTTGTCTCAGAGCTGAGTTGAAGCTTGCACCAGCGATTTATGAAGCGTGCCGCTCTTCGGCACGCCTGCGGCAAACCATGCGGCCATGTGTTCGCAGTCCTGCGCTGACGGTTTGGCAGCAGTTGCGGATCACGCTGTCGCTCGCGACAGCCTCGAAGAAAAAAAAAAACAAACAAAAAAGAACAAAAAAACCCAGGGCCCCATGATCACCGCGATGCAGCAGGCATAATGCGTGGGCCTCCCAAGGGAGTGCTCCACGGGCCTGTCCGCGCCGATACTAGCGGGACCTTGATGCTTTGGTGGACGCACGCTCATGTTTTCAAAGCCCCGTGATGGACGCGAGGCAGCGGGCATATCACTTGATCACTTCACGGGGGGGTTCGACCAGGGGTGTTCCAGGGCTCCCTGGCTCCGAGATTCGTTGGACCTCTGGAGAGGGGCGCCCGGTTTCTGGGAGACGCGCACGAGTTTTTCGAGCCCCGTGGCCAACCCGATGCGGGAGGCGCAGTGCTTGCACCTACCAGGGGGGGGGGGGTCGACCGCGCGTGCTCCACGGGCTTCTCGGCGCCTGGAGTCGCGGGCCTCCGGGCCTCCCAGGGGGGAAGCCGCCGACGGAGGGTTCGGTACTAGCGCGCTCGCGCCCAGATTGGTGGGGCCTCTCAGGTATACTGGCAGATCTCGGATGTAGACGTGTCCGTTTCGAGACCCCATGATCACCGCGATGCAGCAGGCACCGCATTTGGACCGTCCAGGGAGCGGGCCGCCAGCCCGTTCGCGCCCAGGCTGGTGGGACCTCCAGGGTAGAATGACGGTATTGGGGGGGATCAATGGTCTGCTTCCCCTCCCTCTCCTCCTCCTCCTCTTCCTCCTTTTCCTCCTCCTCCTCCTCCGCCTCCTCCTCTTCAGAAGCCCGATGGGGCTCCAGGAGGCCTCAGGGTGCCCATGCAGGCGATAGGAGGCATTGGGAAACCCGACGAGACTGACGGAGGAGGCCCCAGGATGCTCCCAGGAGGGTGCAGAAGGTTCCAGCAAGCCCGAGGAAGCTGCAGGAAGACCCAGGAGGCCCAGACGGCCTCAAGGGAGACAGCCCAAGGAGGCCCTTGAGGCCGTCTGAGGCCCCCAGGAGGTCCTCAATCATGTTCAGACTCGCTCTTACACGAACCCACTCATACTCATATCCATTCATACGCAGTCTTGCTCATACTCAGCCACCCGTGATCAGACACACACACACGCATAGACTCAGACCCTTCATCTTCAGTCTGTCGCACCCAGGCACGCTTACGATCAGACCCACTCATATCCAGTTGCTTACACTCGGACTCACTCCCGCTCATCTTCACTCAGACCCAGTCACTCATATTCAGGCTCGTTCGTACGCAGGCTTACTCATGCTCATATCTCTTCGCGTTCAGATTCGCTCATACCCATCAACTCGTCCCCTGACTCACTCACACTCAGGCTTGTTGATATCTGTGCACAGGGCTGCTCATACCAAGAACAACTTAGTTGGAGCTGCTCTAAGACTCGATCACACCAATACCAACTTGTATTCGGATGCAAACGTACTCAGCCGTTCATGCTGAGTGACCCGCACACAGTCTTCCTTATATTGAGACTCACTTTCATGCACGTTTACTCACACACACAGACATTCGTACCCAGGCGCACTCACATCCAGACGCATTTGTGTTGATACACACTCATGCCCAGACCGACCGATATTCAGATGAGCTCGTACGCCACCGCTTATACTCAGACCCGTTCACAGTCAGACGCAAACGTACTCAGTCACGCGGTTTCAGTGTAACTCACGCTCATACTCAGTCGCTGAAAAAGGACCGCGCCAGGACAGGCATGCACACATGGGCATCACCGCGTCGAGTACTCCGGATTTCATAACAGAAAGGAGGGGGTCTGATTTGCTTGAGCAGTCTTGGAGGGTTCCCTGGGAGTTTGTGCAAAAGGCCGCCTGTTCATTGCTGTTCTGGGGGGACTAGAATGGCCCGTCTGGGAGGGTTGTGACCCCCTCCCTTCTATTTCGAAATGTGGAATACGCTTCCGAACCGCAGGCTGTGCCCCTGGGCTGCGCCATGGGTGCCATAGATTTGTCGTTGCCGTAGCATACGCCCATGGGTACCGTATCATGACCCACGAGCTCATCCGTGCCACAGGTTACGCCCGTGGGCCGCGCCAGAGGACATCATGCATGCGCAGATGTGCTGCGCCCGCTTCATGAGGTCCTCCCCGCCCCCTCGCATCTCCCCTCCCGCCTGCCTCCGCCCACCCCGGACCTGGAGGGTTTCTCCGAAGGGCTTAGGCGACCCGTCCTCCTCCTCCTCCTCCTCCTCCTTCTCCTCCTCATTCTCCTCCTCCTCCTTCTCCTCCTCCTCCTCCCTCTCCTCGCCCTCCCCTCCTCAGGTCGCCAACGGCCCCGGGAGAAACCTTCCACCCCGACCTCAACACCTCCCTCTCGCCCAGGCCTTCCTCCACCACCCCCTCCCGCCTGCCGTCCCGCTCCCTCTCCCCCAGCGCACCGGGGTCCGGCGGCTGCGGCAGCAGCACGAGGAGACGGACCCTGAGATCCGACGCCTCGAAGCATAACAGAACGTGACTTGCAACAGCGTTGAGAACTCGACCGGGGCCCGGGACCCCATCCTTCTGCGGCAGTCTTCGAGCCGGATCGATCCATGGGGGTTTTGGGGTCCGAAGCAAGGCAAAGAGAGTCGCCAGGTGTGACATGATGACGCCAGGATGAGGCGGACCCGGGTCGCCCCCCCCCCCCCCCAGGGGGCGCGACGGCAAACTGCGCTGCGCGCGCCGCGCTCCGGGCCAGCGCGGCCGCCCTTGCGCAGCGGGCGGCGGCGCGAGCGGTGCGCGAGGACACGGTAGTGTTGATAGGAACTCGCTTCCTGGGCACCCCTTTCGGCGGCGCCCCGAAGGGGCTGGCGCCAGGTGGGGGGGAGGTCGGTGGCAACTCATGGGAGCCTCCCATATCATCTTGTCGGCTCGGGCGATTCGACGCCAGTCGACGCGAAGTCGGCGCTCGTCGCGCGAGGACCGCCGCGGTCGTCGCGCCCCGCGGGCGGGGCTCGAAGGCGGGCGGCCCGGCAGGCAAAGAAGGGCGGCGCGAGGAGCGGTGGAGGTCACGGGCTGCGGTGCGAAGACGGTGGCGCCTCGCGCCTCGCCCAGGGGCAACGTCAGGGGGGGGGATAGGCTTAAGTCGGGCCTGGCCCTCTACGGGGGGAATATTCAAAAATAGTCAAGAAACAGTCTGGGGATTATTTTTCGGCCATTTTGGGCCATTCTTTGAGTATCTTTTATTTTCCGTCGAACATCCCCCCTGTAGGGGGACACGCCCGACGTAAGGATAGGCTCGAGGCACGACGTTTTTTCGGGCAGTTTCGCCGGTGCTCGGTGGCTTCCCTGCCTCGGGGTGCTCTCCGGCGGCTGCGCCTCGCCGAGAGCGTTCCGGCGGTGCCCCGGCCTTCCCGGGCGGCCGGCGGAGGCTCGAGAGCTCTGAGCCGAAAACCAGTCAGGTAGGGGGCCACGTGCGAACCCTACCCCTGCCCCCCACGACTTCTGAGGGGGAGGGTGGGGTTCACTTCGTTCGGGAGTTCCCGAGCGAAGTGAACCCCACCCTCTCCCTCAGAAGTCGTGGGGGGCAGGTGTAGGGTTCGCACGTGGCCGCCTGTCAGGGGCAACGTCAGGGCGGGATGGGTTCAGGGTTCAGTCGGGCCTGTCCCTCTGCAGGAGGAACACTCAAGAGTAGCCAAAAAATAGTCAGAGGCCGATTTTTCGACGGTTTTTTGTCATTTTTGAGCACGTTTGGACCATTGTTCCTTTCAAATCCGCCGGCCTAAGTTTAGGGAAGGATGCATCGACGCCCAATGGCTCATATCACCGATCGGTGGCCTGATAGCCCACCCCGCCCAAAGCGTACGGATTCGTCATCGGGGGCCTATCGCTGATCTATCGGCGATGTATCGCCGATGCCAGCTCGATGTCCCCCCCCCCTGGGCCAGTCCCCTCCTAACGTGGCCCCTCACTTGCGGCCCAGGCCAGGGGCCGGCTCCGTCGCCGCGTGGGCGGCACGAGAACGGTGACCCAGTCTCCCGGTCTTGTCCTTGTCGTCGTCCCCGACCTCCTCTCCATTATCCTCGTCCTTGTCCTCCGCCTCGTCGCTGACGTCGTCGTCGTCCTCGTCGTCGTCGTCCTCGTCGTCCTCGTCGTCGTCGTCTTGATCTTGTCGAGACATGCCCTGGCGGGGGTCAGCGTGGCAGCCGCAGGAGACGGAGTACGACGGCGGGCGCACTGCCGAGACTATAGTCGAGTGGGTCCAGTCGATGATGGGCCCCGCCATCCCTGGGCAGCAGACGCCACGCCAGCAGTGATCTTCGCCGCCCCTCTTGCCACTGCAGCCGACGACAAAGGCGAAGGCCCAGGGGCGGGCACGGCGCGTATTCTCCAGGGAGCCTCGCCGAACGCATGGACCATCGGCGCCCCTGGATACACAAGGGCTCCCTCGAGTGCGCGAAGTTATTCGCGCTTCGCGCTTCGCGGTCCTCGTTCCTCCTCCCCCTCCTCCTCGTCCTCCTCTTCTCCCCCTTGGGGGGCGGCGCGAGAGCGCGAAGTTATTCGCGCTTCGCGCTTCGCGCAGCGCGAAGCGCGAAGTTGGGAGCCCTTGATACATGTATTGTTCGTCGCCGCCGATTTTCACTGGAGGCCTCCCAGATGGGGCATGAGTAGACGGGGTCGGAGGATCGCACCGCATCGCCGATGCACCGACGACGTCGGAACGGAGAACGTCGGACCCCGGATCGCGCTGCTTAGCGAATGCATCGGAGATGCGGTGCAATGTTCCGGCCTCATTTGTTCGGGCCCCTTTTGGGAGGCCTGCATCGACGGGAAGGGGGAAGCTGGAGCTGGATGAGGATGGCCGTTCAAGGGAGTCGGTGCTGAGCACCGAGGGTCTACGCTGGCTCACTTGCGCAGAGTGCTCAGCCGGCCGGACTCGCGGCCCGTTGGGAGGGCGATTGGGGAGAGGAGGGGGAGTGGAGAAGAAAGGGCGGGCGAGGGGAGGGGCGGTGGAGGAAAGGGGGAGGAGGAGCAGGATGAGGATGAGGATGAGGATGAGGATGATGATGAGGAGGAGGAGGAGGAGGAGGAAGAAGAGGAGGAGTATTACCCAAGGATAACCCCAAGCCGACTTTGTCGGAGCACGCTATTTCAGGGGGACATCTTGTGAGCAACCTTCTTTCAGAAACACGCTGGAGGATCCACGAGGAGGAGGAGCAGAAGGAGGAGGAGACGGAGGAGGGGGGGAATGCCCAAGAGGGGCAAGAAACTGCCCTGAAAGGGCCCGATGACGCCTCCAAGATGGCGCCAGTCGCTCCAAGAGGGACCCCAAGAGGATCCTCGAACGGCCGAAATTATTAGCGCCTGAGGAATATCTGTCTCCGCCTTCTCACGGAGTCCTGGCATCACGCTTGGTCGGTTGGTTGGTTTTCTTTTCAGGTCGGCTAACCGGCAACTCGGCTGATTGGCTTGTTGTTCAGATGTATGGTTGGCAGCGAATTTGGGCTGTTCGCTGGCTGGCTGGTTGCGCGCGTCTTCAGTAATGAACCCTGGGGACGGTGGCCCTGGGAGCGTGCTTCCACTGTAATCTAAGAGGGTTCGTGGCTTCGGGAGCGCGCACCCGAGCTATTTTGGAGGATCCGTGGCCTCGGGTCCAGAGCCGAATTCCCAGGAAACGGAGGCAGGGCCGAAAAGCGCCGCTCGAACACACATCCCGGTACAGAGCATGCAATTTCTTTCCGTCTTCTGGATGGGGATCTCTTTTGCGTTTTTTGGCGGCCTCCGTGAGGTGGGTTCGCATCTGCGGGAGCGCGAGCTAGTCATAGCGTGCGTGGGATTGTGGCCTCGGGGGCGCGAATTTGTGGCAATTCCTAGTGGATTGTAGCTTCGGGTGCGCGTCTGAGTGGCTGTAGAAGGGCAGGGCTGGATCTAAACGCTGTTTTGCTGGATTTCGGCTGTGCTCTGTCTCTCGTTTTGGCAGGGAGTTACAGGTGAACGGGTAGGGCAAGACGACAAGCACAGCGAGAACAAAACGAACAACAGCGTTTAGGTCCAGCCCGGTGGCAATTCCTGATGGATTTATGTCAGGCGTGTCCCCCTACATGGGGATTTTCGATCAAAACTAAAAAATACCCCCAAAATACCCCCAAAGGGCAAACATATTTTTAAAAAATACCCAGACTATTTTTGGAATATTTTTTGATTATTTTTAGTGTATTTTTTATTTTTCGTCGAAAATCCTCCTGTAGGGGGACAGGCCCGACTGAATGATGGATTGTGGCTTGGGGTGCGCGCCTAAGTGGTTGTACGAGGGACTGTGGCCCGGAGCTTGCGAGTCTGGTGGTACTTTGCGTGGGGTCAAGGCCTCGGTGGCGCGCGAGCGCGCGGTGGTGATCTGCGCGGGTGCCGTGCCTCCTTGGGGCACGCGAGCGCGCCGTGATTTTTGCGAGGGTTTTCGCGGCTTCGGGAGCGCGAACGCGCAGTAATTCATGGGCGGGTGTGGTTTTTCGGAGCGCGAGAGTGACATGCTCTGTCAGGGGTCGTGGCTTGGGGAGCGCGAGTTCTCGGGGCTTTGCATGGGGCTGTGGCCTCGGGAGTGCCTTCGCGGAGTACTTTTACGAGGGGTGGTGGCTTCGGGAGCGCGAAGGCACCGTGAAGTACGAGGGGTTGTGGCTCCAGGAACGCAGATCTACCTTAATTCTTGACGCTTCGCGTATCCCCACCAGCCAATTTTCTTGCCATGCGCCCTTGTCGAGACCATCCCGCTTCCTGGAGTTGTCCTTGCGAGCCGCCGAACAAAAAATATATATCCCCACCAGTCCACCTCAGCTTCAGTGAGCCTTGTTGAGTCAGGCCTCTTTCGCCGCACCATCGTTTACCCGGGGTGCTGCAGTGAGTCTGAGTCAGTCGCTCGCGCTCGCACTCTCCCCCCTCTCTTTTCCGAGGTCTTGGACGGCCTGTCCCTGTGTGCGCGCACGTGGGCTTCGCTTGGTCATTGGCCATTCGGATCCGCGTTCTGCCTGCGGCTTTACAGTGCCCCGCTGTCCGTCTTGGCCTCGCTTCCGAATGTGGTTCGGCTGGAGCTTGGCGCCGCAAGGGCGACTTCTCCCCCCCGTTCCGCTGCTGGTCGCCGCGCCTTTGCTTCCCCACCTGCCGGGATGTCTGGGCCGGTCACCTGCCGACGCTGTCTTGCGTCTCAATGAGGGGCATTTTGTCCTTGGCATGTGCATACGCCACTGCGGCCAATTTTCGTCGTACCGCGCCCCGGACGTTGTGCCCTCTCCCTGTCCCTCGCCTTGGAGCCGAGAACCAAAAAGTATCCCCACCAGTCACAGAATTCCCTGGCATTTTGCCGCAGGGCTGCACCTTGCTTGATCTTCCCAGGGCGTTCCAGTTCAGCCAGCCAGCCCCCGCTGCTGCTGCCCCAGCTGCCGCGGTTGTGAGTTGTGAGCTGGCCCGGCCGGCTCGTGCTGCGCTCTGTAGCTTGTCGTTCCCTGTAGCTAATTCGGCTTGTTCGTCGGCCCGGACACCCTGCCCGCCGCCTGCGCTCTTCGCTCGCGGCCGCGACCAAAAAAAATATCCCCACCAGTCTGGCCCACAGGTACCATCGCCTTCGGGCCGGTCCGTTGCCCCTGCTCGGGACTGGTTTGTTCCCTTGGGTACGTGCGTGGCGTCTCGGAGTGGTCCAGCCTTCCGTCGGACGCTGTGCTTCCATCCTCGTTCCGTCCCAGCCGAGCCCAGGCAGGTCTACGCCGTCGGCACGGCCCTGGCCCTTGGCGCCCCCCTGGCGACAGGACCATTGTGCACCTTGCCTTTCCCATTGCAGTGGCTGTGAGCAACTCGTTCCACCTGCGTGGTCCGACGCCGCAGCGCGTAACACCGAATTCCCTGGCATTTTGCCTGGGCTGCACGATGCTCGAGCTTCCCTGGGTGCCCGATCAGCCAGCCAGCCCCCGCCCAGCTGCCCCAGCGGTCGCCTTGTGAGCTGGCCCGGCCGGTTTGAGGCGTGCCCAGCAGCTAATTAGGTTTGCCCGTCGGCCCGGACAACTTCTCTCGCCGCCTGCGCTCTTCGCTCGCGGCCGCGACCCCCCCCCAAAAAATCCCCACCAGTCAGTGCCGTCGCTCATTGTTTTTCTCTTCGCTACCGGCGCGGCCCGCCGTAGCAGGCTTGGCGTTCGACTCGTTTCGCGCGCCCCCGTAGCAGTTTGGCGTTCGATTCGTGGCGTATTCCGTATTCCCACCAGTCCATCCAAAGCATGCAGTCAAGCTCTGAGAGCCTTCGGGCGGCATCTTGGGGCCGTCGTGGGGCCCTCCTGGGGCCAAGTTGGAAGCATTCGGGGCTCTCTTGGGGCCCTCTTTGGTGTCTAGTTGCCATGTTGTAGGCCCTTGGGGCGCTTTTGGAGCTATCTTATCTTGGAGACCATCGATTAAAGAAGGGGGGAGTTCTGAACTTGGGGCTCTTTTGAGCGCTCTTGGGCCGCGTTGGGCCCCCCTGGGCCGCTATAGGAGCCATTTGAAGCTCGCGAGAGCCTAGCACCACCTATTCTCTTTAGGTGCTTGAAAGGATTTTGAAGGCACGTTGGCAGCTAGCTTGAACCATCCTGGTTTATCCTGTGCGATCTTGGATGCCATCTTGGGCTGTGTGGGGCAACCTTGGACCATCTAGGACGTGATGATCGCTCGCGACTGGCTCCGTCCAGATCCAAAAAGATGGGGGAGAGGTCGACCTCTCCCCGGATTGAAAGGTGAGATTGGAATGACGAACTCCTTAAAACCACCTGCGCCGAAAAGGCGGGTGGGATCACCGCGCGTTCGCGCCTCCGACGCCACAACCCCTTGCAAATCCTCCAGCCTTTTTTTTTTTGGCGTAGGTTGTTTAAGGAGTTAGTTCTTCCGACCTCTTTCACTTCGGGAAGAGGTTTACCTCTCTCCCTACCCCCCTCCCTGGGTCTGGACGGGCCAGGTCGCGAGCAGTCACAACGTCCAAGCTGGCTGGCCCCAAAAGGACCCAGGTAGCCCAAGGCGGCTTCCAATGTCGCGCAATCTAGTTCAAGAAGGATCAGTCTTCCAAGATGCCTCCAAGAGGCGGCATGACTGTCCCAAGGCGGCGGTCGCCACGAAGACTCCCGAGGACCTTCCCGTGAGACCCGAATCTTTCTTAGACCCTCCGTTGGAGTATGTACATGTTTTCTTGGCTTCTCGCCTTCTTGCTTCCGATGGGCTCTGGAGGCTTTCAGATGGCTCCTATACCGCTCAGCACCAAGAGGACACCAGGCTATCATGTTTTGACTTCCGACGGATGGCGTTGTCAAGGATGCTTCTTTTCTTTGACCGATGACGGCACCAAGAGGCCCCTCAAGGGCCTCAAGAGAGGCCCAAGAGGACCCAAGGGGGCCCCGCGAAAGCACCGAAGGCTTCCGAACTGGCCCCAAGAGGACCCCACGACGGCCCCAAGATGCCTTCAAGAGGCTCTCATAGCCTGACCACATGGTACTACACATCCCTGCTCAGGGCAACTCGCCTTTTTTTGGTTGTTGGATGGGCTGGTGGGGATGCGCGAAACGTCATCATTTTGAAGGGATGTGGCCTCGGCAGCGTGGAAGTGACGTGATTTACAATGTTGTTGTGTTCAGAGAGCGCGAGCGCGG